AACAATATTCGCTCTGAAACGCTCGGGTCAATGGAATATTTTACATTATTTAAGTCTTTTATGTCGCCAAAAGAGCCCTTATTGAACAAGAGTCGAACCAAACGATATGCTCAGCCCGCCTCCCTCCCCTCGAAAACGCCATTTGCCCGCCCACCGCTCTCTTACACCCTACCCAACCTAACTAACCCTTTATTTACACCGCTAAACGAGCTTTGCATATTTACTGTACTAGCAACAGACATTTTACGATATATTGAGAATTATTTGCAATATATTTGGCCAACGAGGATGAGAGGCGACGCGGGGGTAACAGCAGCAGCAGCAACAAGGACGACAAATGTTCCAACGACAACAGCAATAACAACAACAACAACAACAACAACAACAACAACAACAACAACAACAATAACAGCAGCAAGTGCAGTTCGGTGCAAATGCAGCCAGAAAGCTTCTAATTCCGGCACTGAAACCATAAGTCTTTGCCGCATTGTACACACACACACACACACACACACACACACATATCACACATATAGGAGAGTGTGTTATCCTGACATCCCAGTAGGAAATTCGCAGAAGTATTTATTAAGGAAAACTCAATATGTGAGCATATTTAAAAATTCAGGTAATAAAAGCCTAAGCTTAACGCCAGATTTTATAAGATAATAGATAGAAAATGACACAAAAAATACGATAAAATATATTAGGGGTCTACAAAATTAGTTAATGTTAGAGTAGATTGAGTTAGACTAGATAGAGTTAGATTGGAATAGAGCAAGTAAAATTTTTTAAAGGAAAAGTTAGGTTTAGAAAAATGAAACTCAAAGGTTCCAGAAAGCAAAAATATTTAAAGATATAAAGCACATGCGCGCATCCATGTTATTTTCATGCATATTTCACGCTTGCCCTTTCTGCTGGGCTATTAGCAAAGCTAAATACTTGAGCTAAGACCGAGACTCTTTAGGATTGCTGCAGCCGCTTTATAACTTAAGTTCGATACACAAGTTTTGCATATATATAAATAGCAAAAACTTATTTTTCTGTTTTCCAAAGATTTTGTTTAATTTACGTAAATTTGCATAAGATACAATTGCGAGTCTGGGCCTGCACTCTGCAGTCTCTAAATTTGTGCGAGAATTGAGCCAAAGTTCAGCTGCGCATACAAAAAATAAAAATAGAAAAAAGGAAAAATAAAAAGAGTCATAGAGTTTATTGCCTTTGGCCTGGGCTATTGCCGGGGCTAAATTTGAATTCAGCTCAAATTGAAAGTTAGCAAAGGCACCAACAAACATATCCAACCCCAACCCCTTCCCCATACTCACACTCACCACTCGATATTTATGCCTTTTCGAATGCAGCTCAGCTTTAATTTAAATGGATTTCTCTGCCGGCTACCATAGCAGACATATGGCAGCATTCGCAATTTCCATTGGAGTGCGCAGCCAGAGAGCAAGTGGGGGGGTCGGAGAGCTCATGACTCCCGACTCCCGACTGGCAACTGGGAAATGGCAAATGGCAAATGGCGACTGGCGACTCCAGCAACTGCCGAGGATTGATTGTGCTTGTTGATATTTTGTCAAATAACGCAAATAAATACACAATTACACACTCAAGTGAGTCCAAGGGAGGGCCGCAACGGGCTGAATTTGTGGGGTTAAAATGGGCAGGTCTGTGAGTACTCCATCCACCCACAGCATGGCCCAACTCCTGGCTGGACGCACCGGCTGGCCGCTCTCTGTTATCCTTGTTTAAAGGATTTTCATTTGTTTAAATGTGCTTTATCGAAAATGGCCAATTGGTAGCTGGCTGTTGTTGTTGCCGCTGCCACGTGAAATTTATTCTAGCCGCACAGTGGCACAAAATATCATTCATTTGCGCGGGTTATAAACAGTTAAATATGTATATAGAAAATTCGATTGTGTTTTATTCAGGTTGCTTAAGTTTTTCAACAAATTTAACTTCTCTTTTTAATTCACATGTTAAAAATTCTATATGCCATTATTCGGGATTTAATATAATATGTTGAAAAATTAAATGTATAGCTTAAAGTTTGTGGAACAAATCTTAATAAGGGATATTGTTTAATGAATTTACTAAGGCTCGCAAATTTTTGATGCAATTCTTAAACTTTACAGTTACCTAAAAGTTTTAATACATTTTCCAGCCATTCCCATGCCATTCTTTCCACTGTGCGGCGACATTTGACTTTGTCATTGTTGTCGCTGTTGTTGTTGCACTTGTTTTTGTTGTTGTTTTATTTGCCACACGCCCGTAAATTCCAATGTAAAATGTTGCATTTATCTTGTAAAAATAATAAATCCAGAAAAGGGACTTTACTCTCTCACGCTTGGCAGCACACAGCAATGTTGAGGGGAGTGCTGAGCGGATGGGACTGGGCATGGTGACTATTGTTAGCTAATAGCCAATGCTTGGCAGAAGGAGTTGCGTAGACTTGGCTAATTTTATATATAGTCAAAGGGGCAGGCTAAATATGAAGCATTTAACCCTTGACAGGGGGTAATGCCAAAAGCGGGGGCTGCGTGATGTTATAAAAAATAAAACCGACGCACATTGCCATTCATTTAATTTATTTATTGGCTGCTGTTTCATTGGCGCAAATCCCGAATACTATGCGATAAATTTAGTAAAATGTGAAAATTGTGTGTGCATTTTGGCGCATGCAGTTTATACACACAGAGACACATACACACATGCACACACATCGTTTGTCAAGCGAGGATTTTCATTATAAAATATCGCCTGGTGTTGCGGCCCGAATATGGAAATGTATTGGGCCAAACAAACTTGCAAAAGAGTCTGCAATTTATTTTAAAATAAAAGTATCTAGTGTGACAAATAGTGTGAGATATGTTTTTGCGCAATGCGGCCAACACAGCCTCCGGACGCCAACCGCCTGCCACCAGCCGCCAGCCTCCCGTTACGCCCAACACCCTCTCGACTGCCCAGCTCTTGCACCGAAATGCGACATGTGACGCGGCGTCGCTGATTTATTTGCATACAATAGCGCAGACGTGCATAAAAAATATAAAATATTCAACAAATACAACAACAATAAACAACAACAACAACTGCAAATGTAACGCCCATTTTTGACGCCAGCATGCAACGGGGCAAGCTCCAGGGGCCGGGCTGCAGTCGCCAAATGAAAGTGGGCGCCTAGCGGGGACTGGGCGCACGGTATGCGACCTGCGAGAGTCAATAAAAGATACATTTTAAATGGCAAATCAAAATATATTTACTTATGATCGAGGAGGAAGTGTGGGAGGAGTCACTTTTATATTATGTGTAAAAAGCCTAAATCTATTTAGAGTTCGGTTCAATATTTATTTTGACGAGGCTCAGTGTAAAGTGAACACGACTAAACTTGACTAATTCTCGCTAAGCACCACTCACTGTGGTACCTAGATTTTAATTTGTTTTTTAATTTAATTTATTTGTCTGTTAATTTCTTGGTAGTAGAAATGAATTAAATACGAATTTTATACATGAACATTTTTTATAATGATATAATTAAGAACGAGAGAGTAAGGATATCTTCGTCACGCCGAAGATTTTATATTATTGTAGACATTTGCCTATTGTAGTTATGTGAGAATAGTTAAGCTAAGTTTGATGAAGATATCTAGAAACACAGAATATTCTTCCATACAAGATCTTACTTTTCGACCGATCGTTAAGACTGAGAGACTAATTCGCTTAGAAACAGACAAACGGGTAGACGGACAGACGGATATGGCTATATACTTGATGGGTACACATTCCATAAAAAAGATTAAATACGCTCTACAAGCCTATTTATAATCGATCGATAATATAAAGGACATCCTACTAATCTCTTCCCGTTTGAGCTTGGGTACTCGGAACCCGAGCTCTAGAAAATGGCTTTATTAAGTCTTTAGCTCCTCGCCCTCGTCACAATTCATCATTTGGCGCCATTTTGCGTAGCGTCAAGTTGCATTTAGTTGTTATTTATGCAAATTTAGCATGTTTCAACTTTTCGCCAAGTGCGTCGAGTCGTTTTCGATTATTTAAAACTTTAGGCGAAATTTAGTAGTGGGTGTGGCGGGAGTCCTTTTAATGCGCGCACCTGACGCGCTTCAATGTCTTACTGCCTGCTCCCTGGCACATAACGGTGACTGGCACCTGGATTATGGCTAAGACGGAGACTGAGACTGAGACTGAGACTGTACTGCGGCGTGCTGTGTGCATAATTTTGTGCGCTGCTGTTAGGACAAATAAATTGTAGACAGCTAAAGTTATTAGATTAGCATTAGGTACAAGGCGAAGCGAAGTGCTGCTCCTTCTTGTGTGTTCGCTAAGCTTGAAATTATGATTTAGCCGGGTTATTTACATGCATATAGAGGAAATAGAGGATGCCGTAAAGTTGGCCAAATTTATGAAAAGCACGCCGCACTTTTGGCAGTCATGTGTTTTTTATAGTGCCCCTCCAATCTAAAACGACAGCAGCTACAAAAGTGCGGAAATTTCCAATTGTTTATCTTGACAGTGTTGAAAAGCGGGAGAAGGCTTTATTTTTTGATTTCTTAAGCAACTGTGGAAATTTTCAAAAACCAATTTTTAAATAAACTTAATAACATATAAACAATATTTGATGTTATTTTCTTTTGTGGCGTTTTTTATTTTGCTTTGCTCAAATTCGATTTTTAGTTATTTAATATTTGTGAATACAATAAAATTAACATAATCAAACAATTTTTCTCAATTAAAAACGATACATTTTATAATTATATTTATAATGTTGCATAATTCGTAATTTAATGTTTAATTCGTATTATTATTTTATATGTTGTTGTTTCTCACGAAAAAAACAATAAAAACTAAACTAACCAATTTAGACACTTACACAATTATTTTATGTTTTTAGTATTTTATTACTAATGCACATAATCAAAACGTTGAGGCATTTCTTAATCTTAAACACTTTCAACTAAGCATATGTTTTCTCTATTAATTTTCAGGTAAGAGATACTCAGAATCTCTTGCGGGATCACTTCTTCCAGACTGGCTAGGTAAGTGCACTTTTCTTTATATTTATTTATTAGCTTATAGTTTACAAATATGTTTTCTTTTGTTTTTTGTCAAAAAAAAAAAATATATTTTAAAAGAAGTTTTTTTTTTTAAATCATGCAATTATTTTTGTTTTCAAATTTTCTTATAAGTTGCTCTCCAAAAGCCGCACTCAGAAATATTTGAATTTTGTTTTGAAGAGTGCCCGAAATCCAAATCCCAAGCGAATCGCAACATTTGACAGATATTCCCGAAACAAACGAAAGAAACACTGAAAAACCCTTTGCCCAATCCGTTCATATGATCCACAATTGTTGAACCCATCAAAATGCTTCTTCGAGTTTTGTTTTTCTTTACTTGATTTTTGTTGTTATTCTTGCTGTTGTTCATGCGTCTATTGCATCCTCTTAATTTGGTGTGTCCAGTGTGTCAGTCAAAGGAGCGCGCCCCAAGGTCCCCCAGAGAGGTAAACCCAACAATATACTCAAATACCAATAAATTGTAAATGTTGTCTGCATTTGCCCAATTTTCAAATACATATGTGCATACTGTATATAAACTTTAGCATGTGCATGCCCTAAGAGAGAGCGAGCGAGAGTGAGAGAGTGAGAGAAAGTAAATTTACTGCATAGGTGTTTGCGATATGAGTTTAACAATATAATATGTGAAATTATCAGCTCATAAAACTTGCCAAATAATTGGCAATTATTCAGTTTGTCAACTATCATAGACACACTCTCTTACACACACACACACACACACACACACACACACGCACACACACACTGACTCGATTACTCATAAGGTTTTCTTTGCTGCACAATTAAAGCCGCCCACAAAGTGGGCGCCTTTTCCCGTTTCTTGATTTGTTGTTGGTTTTTCTGTTGCACTTGGAAAAGTATCACTTGGCACGCAAAGAAAAGCGAGTGAGAAAATTGGAGAGAGCTAACCACAATTTACAAAGCGTATCATTTTGTTAGCAATTTTTCAGCATGCTGCACTTCACAGTAAACCGCTTTAAGGCACGCAGCCAGCTGCACCAAGCACCGAACACCAAACACCACACCCAAACCACCCACCACCCCACCCCACCTATCGCATGTAACCTATGTACATATAGCACCCATATATATATATATATAGCATAGAGTATAAGCCAGGCAGTGTCCAATTAAACACAATTGAGATAACAACTCTCGACGCTGCAAAACACAAACAATTCCAATTGTTAATTGTTGTTAATTTCTGCTTTTAGTTGTGTTAACCAGGCCAAAAGTGTCTGCCTGTCAGCGACAGGCGTTCACAATTCGGGGGATTGGTACTGCAAGAGTCGCCCTCGAATATGCAACCTTTGCAGTTTTCCGCTTGTCTAAATGTTGTTTGTTTATTGGCAATTTATACAAACGCATAAATTACTAACAAGCACACACAGATACACACACACACACACACTCTGAGATACTCGCAAGAAAAACATAAACAAACTTCGCTTACTAAATGCCACTTGCCAATCGTCATCAATTCTCATGTGTGTGTGTCTATAAAAAAAAGGGACCCAAAAGACTGTCGTTGACAGTCAAACAGCCAACTGAAGTCAGCATCCGTATCCGCATCTTTAGATGTTGCTCGCGTCGTATCTGTATCTGCACCCCACAGCAGAAGCGGCGCACATAAATATTTATCTGAATTGTTGAAATCTTCAAATGCAGAAACGTAAAATCCGTTAGAAAATTAATAAAGAGCCCATAGAAATATACTTACTGTTATATATATTCGTAGATATAAATGCGGTTTTGCTCACCCTGTAAAAAACATGTCATTTAGAACGAAATTGAAAGATTGGCTGGAGACTGGAATAGATTGCGTAGTGGAGCAGGGGAGGGACATGAAATTAAATTGATTAAAATGCTGCTGGGTCTGGATAATGTTTTGACTTAAAGTTGATTGGGCTGCAAGTTAACGTTTATTTTCTCATCGTTAGCAAAAGATAAATTACGATTTGTGATACAACTTTAGAAATGTATATATAAACACATTTATGCATGCAGCTACATATTTATGTACATATAAATATTGTACACTCTTATATTAAAATAATCATAAAATGAACTTACATTTCAATTACAAATTATATAAAATAGAACAACAATTTTATAGAATATATTTATTTAAATATAATCGATTTATGACAACCTCCACTTATATTAAATATGATACGGTATAATAGCTAACTAATCGACTTTGCCATAAATAATAATAAATAGTGTAATTCGATAAGATAATGAAATATCTGACAATCTCAAAATGATAGCAACTTTTTAAAAGACAGGAAATCAATTATAATGTTGTGTCTTTAATAGAACACTCTATATTAATGCCAGATATTATATAGAATTATTACCAGCTAATAACGTATATAAACTTGTTTACAAGCTTGTAAATCTATTCACAATCCCAAATTCGAATTGGTATATTCGATATACGTATTCGTATTGCCAGCTGACCGGGCTATTTATAATGCCCTAGAAACTTTGCCAGAGAGATCAATATTTGAGATATTATCACGTGATCGGGTTCGTGGTCTCGTGGCCATATGTTCGCACACACTTGGGAACTGGAACTTGTATTCATAATTATAACAAAGCGGCTATTTATATAGATAGAAACGCAAGAACTGCGTGTAGCAAATGTCTCGTATCGTCGGGCCGTCGGGGTGTCGGGTTGTCGGAGTTCTACGACAAAGGGGGTAGGCGCCAAGCGGCACGCAATTCACAATGAGAGGAGCATAATAATGTGCAATAAACTATCTAAATTTGTTGAATTGTTGATAAACTTTGGCGCCACTTTGTGGAAAAACATGAAACGAAGCAATTGGTAACGCGCCTGCCCCGCGCCCCGCTCAAGATCGCCCTGGCCGCAGCTTTGAAGTGGGCAACAAGCTGAGCGTGTGCCAAATTGCCACATGAGTTGTTTTTTTTTTTCTAATGGTAATTTTTGTGGAATATTTAGTTTAGCTTACTTTTTAATTGCAGTTCATTTGGACTCTGAAGCTAGCGTTGCATTAGGAAAAAAGCACTTTGGCGCAATGTCGAACAGTTCGGGAGCAATTTCCGGTATATTGTAAAGTTTTACCTGTTGTGAGACAACTATTTACAAAATTATCAGTTCGCCTGACATTTGACATTCGCAGGTAAGACACACAAACCGGCTGTAGGTCCAAGTTAATTATTATCTGCAATTGTTTGCGCTTGTGTGTGTGTGTGTGTGCGAGTTTCTGTGTGTGTTTATCTGTGTGCGTTTGAGCTGTATCTCTATCTCGCACATGTCGCTGGCGCCGCTGTCCGCTTCCATTTAATTGCCCCTCGGAGAAGCTTGGCAAATTAGTTAATTGGCGGCCAGTTTATTGTGGCTGCAGTAAGTGGCAACTACTTCCCTGAAAGACAATCTAAACGAGCGCACATAAGTTCCATTTACATATGTGCATATAGTGCACAGAGTATATTTGTAAAAGCAACGCTGGATACTTTCTACTAATTCATCTACTGTGGGCCAAAAACGTACCGAGTTCAAAAATAAATATATTACGCGATTGCGGGGCCTTGATTAGAATCAATTTTATTTGGATTCGTCAGTTTAGGAAAGATTATCTTAAGAGTACATTCTTCTTCTTTGAGTCTGCAATTATTTCATTTGCATATTTAATGCTGATAGGATATGTTAAGGTTAGTCATATTTACCTTGAAGCTGATCAAGAACTCAGTTGAGATACAATTCCTGCTCTTATATAGCACATTCAACACATTCATTTTGAAGTTGACAATTTGTATTTTGTTAATTTTTTAATTACTTATATCTTTTGTTATCGTGCAACCATTTAGCATTAGCAAAAGATATGCAATGAAATTATGCAAAACAACAAAATAATGCTAAAAAGAATATATAAAAATAAGCGCTATCTACCTGTGCGTTTGGGCGCATTGAAGAAGTCGCAGTTAACGACGTCCTTTTATTGATTTTCGTACGCCATTAAATTTTGCACAGTTACCCATATTTTCCGCCATTTGCCAGGACGCTTACTAACCCCCAATTCGGCAGCCCCCAAGCCCTGCCCGCCCCCTAGTTGTGGGGCAATGTGGCAGATATTTTTCTTTTGCCAGCTCAGCAGATGAATGCGTGTAATTTTCGGTTTGATTTATGCCCGCTGACCCCCGCTCCAGGCAGCACATTCGCATCCGCCCGCAGCCCGCAGCACGCAGCACGCAGCACACATGGCCACCCAGTTCCGCCCCGCCCCGCCCTCTGCCAAGGTTGGCAACCTCAGATTTGTTACGGGAGCTGCAGGCGCTTCCATGTTTGTGCGTGTGCTGGCTGCTGGTCCTTCTTTTATCGCCCAAAATGCTAAACGCAGGCAATACATTTCAGCCAGCCTTTGGCTTTCTCAGGGCGGGCTTTATTACATTAGGCGTTCGTAAAATAAAAATTGTGCCACTTTCTCAAAAACACGCACAACAATACACACACACGCACACACACTTATCTGTGCGTGTGTGTGTGTGTATGTGTATGTGACACTGTGGAAATCAACCTGCTGCGGCAAACTGCCGAAAAAAAGGGCAGGCCAAGCAGAAAAGCAGGGCCTTGGGCTGGGAGCGAAAATGCGAAAGTGGTTTGGGGAATGATGGTGGTGGCGGTTCTGCCAGGACACCAAATGCGCTGTGCTTTGTTCAAGTCCTCGCCCTGCCGCTTTCGCTTACATAATCAGTCATGTTATCCTTGTTTCGCATATCCTCTGACAAACACACACGCACACCTAGACGCACACACTCTCCAACATCGAGCGTGCATATAGAAATTATTTATTTATGTTGCTGGCTTTTCTCAGATATTTTTACATTTTTTATATTTTTATTGGGCTTAGACCCCGTGCTGGGTGTGTGTTTGGCTTAAAAGTCGGTCAACGAATCGTAGAAAAATATTTTGGAATGCAAGGAATTCTAAAACA